TGATTGTTGACCTCACGCTCAAGTGTCAGATGCGCTACCCGAATAATAATTCTTAAGCTGTGGGGTTCCTCATCTGTTTAAAGCAAGAGGACATGGTTTGGCAGGTTAGCATGGAGCAGTTAGACTACTAGTAGATGTCATAACTACACCATCTGGCTGCAAACAGAGCATCTTTCTCCATTGACAGCAATTCAAAAGTAGCCATATATTGAAATGAATGCTAATACGTTTAGTAAATCAGTAAAATTAGAGAATTTGGTTAAGGGCCTGAACGTGTAAGGCACTGGATATGTTTATAGTGCAGTGACTATTCAAAACAAAATCACAATTTTAGATGACATCCTTCATGAGTCATAACAGGTCCTGATTTGAGACATTGTTGGATCAGCACATTTATGATGGTTGTAGGAATCTGCAGAGCGAAAGAGGATTGTATGGTAAAAAATATTCTATAGTTAGTCAAGCATCAATAAATGTCACTGTTGTCATGGCAACCTGGTGTAGCCTGCCGTTTGTGATCTGAATGTTGTTCACTACATGCAAAGAAAATATCAGTAAACATTTGTTTCTAATTTTTCAGCATATGCAAAACATAAATGTTTGTAGGGATGCGACTGATGTTTTTTTGCAGCGTTTGTTCTTTTTTTTTCATTTCTAAAGCCTCCGAAACATCATCACTTGAATGCTAGGAAACAGTTGTGGAGATGAACAATGGTTTGACTACAGTAACCATACTTTACTACAGTAACCATAGTGTATCTATAGTAATACTACTACTACTAATACTATGGTTTTAGTAGTAAAACATGGTAAAGTATTGGTATAAAATAATAAATGGTATAAATTGCATTTGTCTCAGTATTATCAAGTAAAGCTAATTATACACATTTAGAAGAAGACTGAAAACATTTTTGTGTATTCAAAAGAATCAACTGCTTTTAAGCATTTTCTGTCATATGTCAAATTGTAGAACATAAGGACATTGTTATTTTTGGTTTATCATTTAATTCATGTATTTATTAATGTAACACAAATGTATCACATGATGAGGACCATTTGAGGTGTGGCAGAAATAGACCCTATTCGGAGCAGCACCCTGTATGAAAGCGAGGCTGTGAGGGATAAACTTACTGTATTTTCCAGTTATGTCTACTGTAAAAAGCACCTAAATCACTTTTACATTGCTTTAAGGCCTTTAAGGGGACTAGTTTGGGAAAGTAGGTTTTTGAAATAATCTCCAATATACGAACGATTCGATTGACATGCGGTGGTCATAAAGGCAAAGTTGCTCAGAATGAGGAGTTTCCCAAAAGCATCGTTGGCCAAATTATGATCGCAATTTCCATTGAACTCTATTAGTAGCGACGGAACTTGCGACCATAGTTGGCTTTGGGAAACGCACCCCAGGCTGACTGTTGCGTAGCTACACGTTTTTTCTTTATAGCGCCACCAAGTGGCCAGTCGCCACATCCTTTTTTACGTGACCACAGACCAAGCCTATACATACTGTAGGTGTACCAAATTTGGTGAAATTACTTAATTCCGTTCAAAAGGGTTAAGCCCAATTTATACTTCTGCGTCGACCTCCCGCCGTAGGTTGTGTAGCGCACGGGCGTACCCTTCACAGGCCTCATTATGCTTCTGCATCAACTCCACGGCGTAGCTACGCCGTCACTCCTACAGCGTCGTGGCCGTTTTATGGTTCTGCGTCAGGTTGTGTTGCATCGCGGTGCATTTCACCGCCAGAACGCTACGGGGGTGTGTGGTTCGCGAATCTCTTTGCTAGTTTGTTTTGGTTCTGTGCGCCGGTTACGCTTTTTCATTTCCGACGGCGAGCGAAAGAGAGAGAATGTTGTTGCTTCTGGAGCTAATCGACGTTGAACAACAAATGATTTTATTGCAAATGTTTAATCGCAGAAGAATCAAATGTTCCTCAACTTGATCCATCGTTGAAACAAACAGTGCTGTGGTCACTTTAAAAATGGCGGTATAGCGGGAGGGGGAAAAACCGGAAAAGCTACACTCCGGAAATTATGTATAATCTGACCAATCACAGCCCTTGCGGTCTGCGTCGCCTCAACGCGTAGTTACAATTTTTTGGAGGTGCACGTCGAGATACGGCGGAGGGGTCGGAGAAGGGTTAGCGGCGACACAGAAGCATAAAACAGGCTTTCGGCGTACCCTGACGTGCACCTCTCCAAAAATGTAACAACGTGTCAATTCTACACGGACGCAAGTGCAGTGATTGCGAGCGAGCGGTTCTGGCAGGCCAATCACAGCGTTTGCGTCCGCGTAGAATTGACACGTTGTTACATTTTTGGAGAGGTGCACGTAAGGGTACACGCGCTACACACAGCCTACGACGTAGCTACGGCGGGAGGTCGACGCAGTAAAAGCCGTTTCAGTAAAAGTGGTCACACCCACTTCAAACGTTTTGGCGTCCCGTAATGGACGTGAATCGAATATTCAGACTGCAGAGAATCTTTCTGCACTGGTTTGGTTCGGATCGGGTGAACAACCTAGGACTACTTCGCAAAGTAGCTTTTTCGAAAAATCCAAATAGGCCTACCAGAAAATGTCACCAGGGCGGCGACCGAATCCGGTCGAATCCGGATTCCAACGATATAAGACACTTAGCCGGCGACTAATGGTTTAGGAGTTATGAGCCATTAAGTACTTTTGATCGCTGTAGCGCCACCATCTGGCCGATTGGGGCGAGCCTTGGTGACGTTGTAGACGGGGTGGGTACTATCATCCCTAAAAGTTTCAAGTCTCTAGCCTACGACTTATGGTTTGGCTCGATCACTTTTAGGGAGGAATGCTGATCCTTGGAAATTATAACAATTACAATAGGGTTTGGGTTTCAGCGCTACTCGCTCCAACCCCTAATAATAACAGTACAACCCACTGAATAGATGTATGTCTATCCCATAGACAGTAAAAGAAAGGTCTATCCCTCACAGCCTTGCTTTCATTCCCGCTAAAAATCACAGATGGCGCTGCTGTGAATAAGGTCTATAGATTGGGTTATACTGCCATCTGATGGCTAACAGGGACACTGTCACTATTGTACACCTTATATTTATATGGTGGTATGAGTAGTAGGAGTAGGAGCAATCAGTGACAAGACCAAGAGTGCTTTATTTATTTGTATTTCATACTGTAGCATGATAATGCCTTTGGATAGACATTCAGATATCTATTAATCCTTCCGTAAATGTATCCTGACACTGTTTATCTCTCAAGCAGCTCTTTCATTTCAGATATCTTTTGCTGTTTCATATCTGGTTTTGGTGTTAGTGGAGATTTCTTTATATCTATAAAAAGCATAATAGGTTTATTTAATGTATCATACAGAAACTCAACACAGAGAGTTATTTGGATATATCAGTGAAATGGAGAAGTGATGATGACATATGCATAAAATAATGTAAAGATTTTGGGTGAATGTGTTAATATATCTAATGTTATGTTTGTAACAATCCAAAAAAACACACATAGTTGCCGTTCTTCCTTTCCCATGCATGACTTTTCAGTTGTGGTTAAAGACGTCTAACACTTCACTGGCCTGAATGTTTCCACTTTATACCATGTGACTGTTATAGTTGAAAACGAGAGGAACCAACTAATGTTTTATAATGTTGATTTGATTTCCACTGCAGAATAGATTCACAAAGTGAACTGAAAAACAAGAATCCACACATATTTAAAGTACATTGTCCACTCGTATGTCAAAAATGTATTCTTAAGTGCTTGTGTTCGTTTGAGAAATTTCTGTTTTTAATGTAATTTCCTACAAGATGTGATCTTTTGAGAATGCACTTTATTTCATGTCGGATATAGTTATTTTATACGTTGCTTTAATGAACTGTCCCAAATTCTGTACAATACTGTACATAGAGGAAAATAAAGACATAAACATATTCTGTTCTAATGTGAATGTCCTATATAGGAGAAATGAAGAGAATCGTGTATGTGTGGCATTTTGGACAGGTTGTGTTGAAACGAATCTGTAATTTATTTCTATTTATTTGGTTCTGTACATCACTTTTACTTAATGCAGATGTCCATTAACTGAGGTGCAGTGTGTGTAGTCAATTAATAAAGATGTATTGTATAAAATTACATGCTTCTTTTATTTGCTTTTCAGATTAATACTAAACTCACACAGGAAAGTTCATCAAGGCATTGCTAGATTTTTTTGGTCAAGTCAGCATAGACCTTTGGTCACTGAGCTTTTGTCCTCCTTTATCACAGTATGAGTTACGAATTATTAGTTAACAGTACTAAAACTGATCTTTTACAAATACAAAAACTGGCTGTTATCATACTGAGTGATGTAGAACACAATGATGATGGTATTAGTGCTCTGCAAGCAGAATTTACTCAATTTAAATGTAAACGTACAGAATTTAAATGTAAACAAAGCATAACTCTTAAATGTAAACAAAGCATAACTGTACATGACCCTTTACTTTTTTTACTATGAACTTTGTCAATCTTACGTAATCCTTCACAGTACAACAAAATTACATCGGCACAAAACAGAATTTAGAGTATGTTTTTATTGAGCATTCAAGAGGATTTCTTTCTTTTTCTTTCTTTTTTTTTTTTGCTCATGAATGCAAAATGTGTCTAACCAAATAAAAAGGTTAACAATTTACCATATGCCCTATGTACAATATGTATCATAACAAACCAAGGTAGGATTTATTTCTTACATATTTTCCATGCCGTGAAAAAGCGCCATAAGACTGTAGAGTAGTGTATACTGAGAACTGAATTAGTTTTAAACAGTTTTACCAACTGCATAATTTATTTCCTTTTAATACTCCAAACTGTTTTAATTTATTCACTGTATTAATTGAATCATATGGTATGTACATATTTTATTTAAATAAATAAATAATTCAGAATTCATTGACTACAGTTTCTCGTACGTGTATATCATCCAATCATCAAACGGCAACTGTCAAACCTGGCCAATCACGTCGCCTGGTGGGCGGAGCGAGGGTGTGTATCCGCAATGACAACAGGAAGTGGTTGCATACTGGTTTAATCGCTCAATGATTTATACACTATTCATCTCTCAGCTGACAGTTCGACCGACGCGTATGATTGTATAGAAGTAGGAACTCATGACTGCGGCTTTAATCGATACTCGCCGAGATTACGGCCCCTGAGAAGGCCTGAGCTCGGTCTCACAGCGCCTGTCCTTGCCGACATCCAGACGAGCGTTCGTGCAGCTGGACGCCGTGGACTATTTATAGGAAAAGTCGGTAAAATACCCGGAACATCAAACATGCCGGGTCTAACGTGAAGGTAACCCGGCCAAGCTTTCAAATGTTTAGTCTGGCTGTTTAAAATGACTTTTGGAGTGTATACATTTCAAGATACGTGATAACTGTCTTCATACTTAATTTTTTTTTAATATTTCACACAAACACCGGAATCAGGCTGCCTTATTTCTGTATTTTAATGGTGTTAAAATCTGTATCGTGACTGGTATTCGGCGATTACTTGTTTTTTTTAAAACGAATTAATTATTTCCAACGAAATTATTGCACATTCAGCCACAGAAAACTGGATTTTCCTCTTAGGCTGTGTTCGAAATGAAATAGTAGCGTACTTCATACTGCATTATGTGCACTATATACTGTATAATGCCTACTCATTTCTACAACGCAATGTGAAACATTAGGCAGCATGTGACACAAAACGTTTCAAACATTAGTATGCTAAATGCTTGTCGGTTGACTTCAATAAAGCTGCAGTCTAGTTGTACACTTTGGGCAGTCAAAAAATGGTTGATGATGTTTATAGTAGGTCAAGCGCATTGCATTGTGGGAAACGGTGTAATCAGTTGCATACTACACATTTTGACATAAATTAGGCAAGTATTCTGCGCATAAATGAAATGTTCTTAAACTGTGTACATACTGCAGTAATAGTATTATTTCATTAATGTAGTATGGTAGTATGCTAAATGCATTGTGATGACCTTTTTTTGCTGAGCACTCAGTGGTCACATGGCTTACAATTCACATGTATCCACTTTCTCCGAGCAGTCTAGCGCTCTAGAATGAAGTGGAATTTTTTAAAGAATTTGCATTATTGTGCAATGACGTTTTGTCTCATTCTGAACTGATGACGTTGCCTCATTTCCCGCCGTTATACTGTAAGCTCAAACTTCCTTGAGAAAACAAGGAAAAGGGAAGTCATATTCCTTTTTGTAAAGAGTGCTTGAACTCTCGTGGCCCTCAGTCACCACACCTGTCCTCAGTCAGGTCTCATGTGACCGATTCATTTCCCACACAGCTTGTTTTCTGTTTGTGTAACACACAGAAGAATGTTTTCTAGTTTGAATAGTGTCTATTGTGACGTCACATCGCAGTCAGCAATTCAAATTGCACGACTTCAAAAGTGACAGTAAAGACATTTATATAATGTAACAATAGATTTCCATTTCAAATAAATGCCGTTCCTTTGAATGTTCTATTCATTAAAGAATCCTGAAAAAAAATAATCAAGGTTTCCACAAAAATATGAAGCAGCACAACTGTTTTCAACATTGATAATAACCATAATAAATGTTTCTTGAGTATCAAATCATCATATTAGAGTGATTTCTGAAGGATCATGTGACACTGAAGACTGGAGTATTGATGCTGCAAATTCAGCTTTGATCACAGGAATAAATTACATTTTAAAATATATTCACATAGAAAACAGTTATTTTAAATTGTAATAATGTTTCACAATATTACTGTTTTTACTGTATTTTTAATCAAATAAATGTGGCCTTGCTGAGCAGAAGAGACCTACTTCAAAAACAAAAAAATATCGACCCTAAATTTTTGAACGGTAATGTGTACATGTACATTTTTCTATTTGCAATCAGCTCTAAAATAGGTTATACATTGCTTTGTGTGACTGCAATCTCTAACAAAAGTCCTTATCAACATTCAGTACATGGTGCTGCATGGTAGAATATCATTGTATTACCATGGTATGAATGCTAAAAAAAAAATATTTCCTTGAAACCCTGGTACTCATTAATTTTTTTTATTTTTTATTTATTTATTAACTAGTGTTAATGTGTGTTAGATGATCAAGGTCATTAATGCACAATTAAATATCCATTATCAGCTGATATCAAAACATTAAAAAAAATCTGTTAACTGATGTGGTACAGATATATTTTGGATTCCTTGTATTTAACCATATTTTTTTCATATTACTTACCATCAATATGCATAGGCATCACTGATTATGAGTGTGAGCGAGCGTCACTTGTTAATGTTTCTGTTGTCAGAAATCAGATCTCAGAATGAGACATTTCTGCAGCTTAGTTTCGGTAAATGCTTTTTTTGGACTAGAGAAGTCATATGCACAGCTGTGATGTCATAGCACAGCTGCTCTGTTTCAAAAGCTCAAGGAACTATTGATTCCTCATGATATTAAAAATATACCAAGGAACCCCTCATATCACGTTTTCTCTTACTTTCGCTGTCTTTCAGGCTGACGTTCCTCTGTAATGCTGCTGTATCCAGCCTGAACCATGAACTCCGTGTCTCCCAGTGGCGTTCAGTACATGGTGGGCGCTGGAGCTCATGATGACAGGCCCTCGGCCCAGTCCCGACACCACAACGGCCATGGGCCAGTGCCTGACGCCATCAGAGAAGAGCCCGATGAAGTGGATCGCCTGAAAGCCAAGTTCATTTCGGCCTGGAACAACGTCAAATATGGTTGGTTTTCATGCACATGATTGAGAACTGGTTTCTATGACTGAAACAAAATAATGACACAAATGGTTGTTCCTTTTTTTTTTCGGGCCATTTTTGAAGTCAGATGTTCAAAACCGGCCACAAATCAAATATCATTGACTGTATCTCAGTAAGTTCCTGTCTTCATTTTCCCAGGCTGGACCGTGAAATCTAAAACTACCTTCAACAAGACCTCCCCTCTGTTCCTCCTGGGTCAGTCCTATCTGTTCAATAGTGAAGGTGAGTAAACACTTGCACACTTGTTGTCACTGTAAAGCTGCTTTAAAATCTGTATTGTAAAAAGCGCTATATAAATGAAGGTGACTTGACTTGGCTTGAGCTTGACTTGAACTTGACTTGAGCTTGACTTGACTTGACTTGGACTTGGACTTGATTTGAGCTTGATTTGAGCTTGACTTGAACTTGACTTGAACTTGACTTGAACTTGACTTGGACTTGGACTTGACTTGATTTGAGCTTGACTTGAGCTTGACTTGAACTTGACTTGAACTTGACTTGAGCTTGACTTGACTTGACTTGACTTGACTTGGACTTGGACTTGACTTGATTTGAGCTTGACTTGAGCTTGACTTGATTTGAGCTTGATTTGACTTGACTTGACTTGACTTGACTTGACTTGACTTGACTTGGCTTGAGCTTGACTTGACTTGACTTGACTTGACTTGACTTGGACTTGACTTGATTTGAGCTTGACTTGAGCTTGACTTGATTTGAGCTTGACTTGACTTGACTTGGCTTGACTTGACTTAGACTTGATTTGAGCTTGACTTGACTTGACTTGGACTTGACTTGATTTGAGCTTGACTTGAGCATGACTTGATTTGAGCTTGACTTGACTTGACTTGGCTTGACTTGACTTGGACTTGATTTGAGCTTGACTTGACTTGACTTGACTTGACTTGGACTTGACTTGGCTTGGACTTGATTTGAGCTTGACTTGACTTGACTTGACTTGACTTGGACTTGACTTGACTTGATTTGAGCTTGACTTGACTTGACTTGACTTGGACTTGACTTGACTTGACTTTGACTTGACTTGATTTGAGCTTGACTTGACTTGGACTTGACTTGACTTGACTTGACTTGACTTGACTTGACTTGACTTGACTTGGACTTGACTTGACTTGACTTTGACTTGATTTGAGCTTGACTTAACTTGACTTGACTTGACTTGACTTGGACTTGATTTGAGCTTGACTTGACTTGACTTGACTTGACTTGACTTGACTTGGACTTGGCTTGACTTGACTTGGACTTGACTTGTACTTGATTTGAGCTTGACTTGACTTGACTTGGACTTGACTTGATTTGAGCTTGACCTGATTTGAGCTTGACTTGAACTTGACTTGATTTGAGCTTGACTTGAGCTTGACTTGATTTGAGCTTGACTTGAGCTTGATTTGAGCTTGACTTGTGCTTGACTTGACTTGACTTGATTTGAGCTTGACTTGACTTGATTTGAGCTTGACTTGAGCTTGACTTGATTTGAGCTTGACTTGATTTGAGCTTGACTTGATTTGAGCTTGACTTGACTTGATTTGAGCTTGACTTGACTTGACTTGAGCTTGACTTGAGCTAGACTTGACTTGACTTGATTTGAGCTTGACTTGAGCTTGACTTGAGCTTGACTTGACTTGATTTGAGCTTGACTTGAGCTTGACTTGAGCTTGACTTGACTTGAGCTTGACTTGAACTTGACTTGAACTTGACTTGACTTGACTTGAACTTGAATTAACACAACAATGATCAAAAGAATGTGATTCTGTTGTACTGAGATGCCGTCTCGTTCCCAGACGAGGTGGAGCGCTTCCGGCAGGTGTTTGTGTCGTGCGTTTGGCTCACCTACAGGAGGGAGTTTCCTCAGCTGGAGGGATCGAGTCTGACCACTGACTGTGGCTGGGGCTGTATGCTGCGCAGTGGACAGATGCTGTTGGCACAGGGGTTACTGCTGCACCTCCTGCCCACAGGTCTCAGCTACTTTCACATTTGTTGATTTGCATGTGAATTAAATGCAGGAAGCAGTAGCACTTTATTTTACAGTCCGGTTTTGCATGAACATAATGACCTGGTTTCACAGACAGGGCTTCGATTAAGCCAGGATTGGGCCTTAGTTTAATTAGGACATTTAAGTAACTTTTATAAACATGCCTTGGAAAAAATTACAATAACTGAGTAATAATTAGGTAATAGCTCTAATATAACCTAATTGAACCCATGTAGTTACCTTAAATTACTCAGTATTAAGTACATTGATAGTGCACTTACTGTAAAATAAAGTGCAACCAATAAAGCAATTAATTAATGATGCAAAGAGTTTTGTTTAAGGAAAAACTTCCTTACTTTGCTTAATTTTATACAGTCCCTGACAAAAGTTGTGTCGCTTGTGTACAAATTGACCTGAATGCCGCTGAAATATATTTCTAATCAAGATTTTTTTACAAGAAATGGCTCATTTTAATCCCAACAGCTTTTGTAATAATGTTTCAGTGCAAAACGAAACTGTCAAAAAGCATTCTAATATTCACAGCTTGGTAAAGCCCATTGAATCAATTTGTGCAAAGACATAAGTGTTGTCGCCTTGTCATATGAGCTTCACCTGTGACTAATAATGGATCAATTAGGTCTCAGGTGTGTATAAAAACAACCCCAGTACACTAGACCTTCACATCAACTGCAACTAGACCTTTGCAAACATGCCTAAGATTCACCCTGAGACTAAAGTTTTGATTATCAAGAGGCTGAAGACCAGATCCACTGCTGATGTGGCAGACACCTTCAATGTGTCTCAGCGTCAAGTACAGAGGATAAAAAAAAACATCTGAAGACACTGGAGACATTTTTGACAAGCCCAGGTCAGGCAGACCCCGCAAGACAACTGCTCGAGAGGACCGTTTGTTGGCTCGAAAATCCAAGGCCAGCCCATTTTCCACTGCAGCAGACCTCCACGAGACCTGGTCACCTGAAGTCCCTGTGTCAACCAGAACAGTTTGTCGGATTCTGTCTCGAAATGGCCTCCATGGTCGAATCAGTGCCCAGAAGCCAGCACTAAACAAAAGACAATTGAAAAACCGTGTGGCATTTGCCAAGGCCCATAGCCTACTAAAATTTTTCAGATGAATCTTCTGTTGAATTACACCACAGTCGCCGCAAATATTGCAGGAGACCTACTGGAGCCCGCATGGATCCGAGATTCGCCCAGAAAACAGTGAAGTTTGGTGGCGGAAAAATCATGGTCTGGGGTTACATCCAGTATGGGGGTGTGCAACATCAATAGTCTAAAATACCAAGAAATCTTAGCTACCTCTTATATTCCCAACCATAAAAGAGGCCAAACTCTGCAGCAGGATGGTGCTCCATCGCATACTTCCATCTCCACATCAAAGTTCCTCAAGGCGAAGAAGATCAAGATGCTCCAGGATTGGCCAGCCCAGTCACCAGACATGAACATCATTGAGCATATGTGGGGTAGGATTAAAGAGGAAGCATGGAAGACGAAACCAAAGAATATTGATGAACTCTGGGAGGCATGCAAGACTGCTTTCTTTGCTATTCCTGATGACTTCATCAATAAATTGTATGAATCCTTGCCAAACCGCATGGATGCAGTCTGTTGGAGCTATTTTCTATTTTGTTTATTTTAGGCTTAAGTTATAGCCTAATTTATTTCCTTCCTTTCCCTGCTAAAGTTCATTTGCTTTATTTTGTATTCATGCTTATTTTTTTGTTTTCTTGTATTGTTGTTAATTGGTCACATGGTGCTATGTTAATTTGCATAAGTAGGTCAAGGTGGGAGGGACCTCAGGTTGCGCGGGCATATGGTTTTTTACCAGCTTGAGAGAGGCAGCAGAAAATGTCTGTGAGCTGCTTATATGTGTAAATAAACCTCCTCAAACTCAATTTTGTTATGGACATTAGTTCACTTGGACACCTCTAAACCTGCGTAAAGCCTAACCCAGCCTCAGTGGCCGTTTGAGAAGTTTGATATTATTAGTTTGTTTAAGTTTATGGACAAATAGCCACTACACAGTCCTTCAAGCTCATGGAAGTCATACAAGATATTAAATTTGGATCTCACATCACCAATACTTAATTTGCTGACATATTTTTGTATTTGCAGTAAATTTGTTCAATTTCTGTATAGGCGACAAAACTTTTGTCTTGCCAAAATTTGACCTTTCTGTCTTGTTTAAATGATAAATCTTTTTTCAGTGAAACTAATTTATTTCAGTGCATTAAACATCATTTGGGAGGGTTTTAGCTTTTCATATGAGCTATTTCTAACACCAATTGATTAATTAAAAGTCAGGTTAATAGCAGGTGTTTCTACAAAATAGATTAGCGACACGACTTTTGTCAGGGACTGTATAATTACTTTTATTTACCATACTTAATCATAACAAATATAGTCTGTTAAAGTGTATTAATATATATATATACACTACTGTTCAAAAGTTTGGTGTCAGTAAGATTTTTTAAATTTTTGTGAAAGAAGTCTCTTCCTCACCAAGCCTGCATTTATTTGATAAAAAATACAGGAATCTTTTGAAATATTATTACAATTTCAAATCAATTTATTCCTGTGATCAAAGCTGAATTTTCAGCATCATTTCTCCAGTCTTCAGTGTCACATGATCCTTCATAAATCATGCTAATATGATGATTCGATGACATTTCTGATTATTATCCATGTTGAAAACAGTTGTGCTGCTTCATATTTTTGTGAAAACCATTATACTTTTTATTTCAGGAATGTTTGCTTGAATAGAAAGATCAAAAGAACAGCATTTATATGAAATAGAAATATTTAGTAACATTATAAATGTCTTTACTGTCACTTTTGATCAATTTAATGCATCCTTGCTGAATAAAAGTATTAATTTCTTAAAAAAAAAAAAAAATCTTACTGACCCCAAGCTTTTGACCGGCGCCTATATAACTGCATACATGCTTCTCTCTATATCCCAGACTGGAGGTGGTCGGACTGTCATCCGCTGTCAGACGTTGATTTTGAGGTGCTGAAGCCCCGCTCTCCTTCCCGCCCGGCTGGCATGTCCCTGCCTTCCTTTAGTTCTTCCTGGACCAGCCCCGTTTCCCAGCGGGACCCCGGCTCTGGCAGTGCTGAGGGTCACAGACGGACCCCTGAGCAATGCCCTGCAGCCAGACTTGACCCTCAGGAGGAGGCGTTACACAGGAAGGTGGTGTCTTGGTTTGGGGACCATCCCTCGGCTCCGTTCGGAGTTCACCAGCTGGTGGAGCTGGGAAAGGAGTCCGGGAAGAGGGCAGGGGACTGGTACGGCCCATCCGTAGTGGCACATATGCTGAGGTGAGAGGAGAACAAATGAGCATCAGTGTACATTGAACTGAACTGTGTGACTTATGACTTATTTAATGTGTTTTCTTCTACCAGAAAAGCAGTGGCTAGAACCCCTGAGTTTCACAGCCTTGCTGTATACGTGGCTCAGGACTGCACGGGTGAGTCTTGTGCGTCATGTGATCATTTGACAAAAACTGTTAGTGAAACTGAAACTTTATCTCGTACATGTTTGTAAGTGATGTTTAGCTCATACTTCTGCTTCTGTGTGTGTGTGCTGCAGTGTATAAAGGAGATGTCATGGGGTTGTGTGAGTCGCCCCTGACACAAGAGCGGCCCGAGTCCGGTGGCACAGGATGGAAATCAGTCATCCTTCTAGTGCCAGTGCGGCTCGGAGGAGAGTCCTTAAACCCCTCTTACATTGAGTGTGTTAAGGTACATGTACTGCACATGAATTCATAAAAAAAATATGAATTTGTTGGAAAATAAAAAAATAGATGTATTATGAAAGCTTGTTTCCGCCACCGGGTAATTTATTTTAACTTTTCTGATTTCTGAACACAATTCTGACATTTTTTTCTCTCATTTCTTATCTCTTAATTCAGACTTTTTTAATGTAAACTCAGAATTGCAAGATATAAATAAATACAATTAAATAATAACAAAAAAGGTTATTGCAAGTTTACATCTCATATTTTAGATTTTTTTTTCCCCTCTGATTTCAGTTTACATCTCACAATTCTTTTTTTTTTCCGCCACGGCATTACAAAATAAAAAAGGTTATTGCGTCTTTTTATCTCACAATTTTGACTTTTTTCTCAGAAATGCTAGTTTATATCTTGCAATTCTGAGTTTTTTTTATCTCTTAATTCAGAGCTTTTTTATGTAAAAAAAGTATTTTTTCAACTAATTTAGATTTTTTTTTTAAATGTAAACTCAGAATTGCAATAAATAGCAGTTTATATCTCTTAATTCAGACTTTTTTATGTAAAAAAGTATTTTATCACTTAATTTAGATATTTTTTAATGTAAACTCAGAATTGCAATAAATAGCAGTTTATATCTCTTAATTCAGACTTTTTTATGTAAAAAAGTATTTTATCACTTAATTTAGATATTTTTTAATGTAAACTCAGAATTGCAATAAATAGCAGTTTATATCTCTTAATTCAGACTTTTTTATGTAAAAAAAGTATTTTATCACTTAATTTAGATTTTTTTTAATGTAAACTCAGAATTGCAAGATATAAACTAGTCAGAATTGTGAGTTAAAAACACGCAATTAACTTTTTTATTTTGTAATTCCGTGGCGGGAAAAAAAGAATTGTGAGATGTAAACTGAATTCAGAGGAAAAAAAATCTAAATTGTGAGATGTAAACTTGCAATAACCTTTTTTTTTTTTTAACTTAATTTTATTTATTTATTTTATTCCATGGTAGAAACAAGCTTTCATAGTAATTAAATCACTTTGCAAACCGGGCAAAATAATTTTTATTTTATATTTAATATAATATAACTTTTTTTAATTACTTAAATAAATGGCCTTATGTTGACATTTGTTTTTAAATAAACAATCTCTCCTTTTCTAGAACATTCTCAAGTTAAACTGCTGTATAGGTATTATTGGAGGGAAACCCAAGCATTCTCTGTTTTTTATTGGCTTTCAAGGTATGTGTCTATTAAGAACTATATTTTGATTGGTTACTGTGTTGCTGTCTGCTCTCTGATTGGCTGCTGTCTGTCTTCCAGATGACCAGCTATTGTATCTAGACCCACACTACTGTCAGCCGGTGGTGGACGTCACCCAAGGCAACTTCTCTCTGGAGGTGAGACCGAAAGCAACCCTCTTAATTCGTACAGAAAACAAAACAAAACATTATAATACTTATAATTTCAAAGTCTTGTATGTAGCTGAAGTCTCTCGTTTCTCTCGTAGTCTTTTCACTGTAACTCACCCAGGAAGATGAACTTCAGTCGTATGGATCCCAGCTGTACCATCGGGTTCTACGCACAGACGAAGAAAGACTTTGAGTCGTTGTGCTCAGCGGTCAGTGATGTGAGTGTCTTGTTTGAATCGGTAACACTAGAAGGAATTGTTGTGCTCCAAGTAGGTAAAAATCCTTTGCTTCTGGTGCATAGAGTCAAAAAAAGTCAATGCAGACAAACAAAGGAGTTGCTAAAGGTGTACTGAAGGTGAAGCTGAGCACTGAAGAAAGCAGTTTGCTCGTGCTCGTCTCTCCTTTAACTCACTTACACTTTGCACTTTTTTGCACTAGTATGCACTTTATAAAATAAAATATTTTTGCTAGACTTTCTCAAGTTTCTAGAATTCCCCTAAAATTTAAGATATCAGGGCAAAAATGCCCCTGTATAATTTTTTTTGTCTCATTTTTGTATCATGATATAGTTAAGTAATATCACGCGAGTAACGAGCGCAATTTCACACGAGTGACGTTTTTGTCCCGAATTGCACGAGTGCAAATGTGATTTTTATTTATTCAATAAATAATAATATTGTGTTATGTTTTAGACACAATATTGTCTGCCTATGCTACATTTTTCCAATATTACCTATAAAGCCAGAGCAGAACTGTTGTGAGTCTCTGACCAACACACAGCGGCGTTTCGTTTTGAGCAAATCAATCGGGTAAACCAATGATTCAATGGCTCATTCATAAAGAGAGCCATTTACGAATGAATCAGCCGTTTGAACAAACTCATTTAGACCTTTACCGCCACCTACTACTATCATAAAAATTATACAAATAAAAAAAATCCATATTAATAAATAATGCATTAAAGGTATAGGTCACCCAAAAATGAAAATTCTGTCATCATTTACTCACCCTATGTTGAATAAAATTAAATTAAATAAAAAAAAAACATTTATAAAGCTACTTTTTGCAATGTCTATTTGATACTTTTCTCATTAGCACAATAATGACTTTAAATTATTTTAAAGTCTCAGGTAATTTCTCAGCCAAATTTGATGTGCAATTATAAATATTTAGAATTTTTTTACATGTATTTTACTATAGTAATAATAACTATGAATTAGGGATAATTAATGCAACCAATCCTAAACCACACACTAATCCTACTATACTAAAGTCCCCCAGTAGTCAATAATTTTATCCCTTAAAACTTATCTTTGATCACTAAAATGACATATTTAAACGTTCTTGAAAAAAAAAAATCTTCATGCCTTAAAATAGCTTGAATGTAACTCGACACCCTTGCCTCATTTAGTATATGCGGTTCTATGAATATGCAAATGAGCCCCGCCTCCACTCACTCACACCAGCTCAGAGATCCAGTAGTTGACGATCACACGTTGATCTGATTGGTTACAAGGTCGCTTGTGACGTCAGAAACGCCAGCGATTTCAAACCGTCTTTTTGAGACTTTCTTTGATTTACTTCAGTTTTAAGAACAAAAATATTCAGTAATGGTGTCGACTTATGAATTTGCACATGGTTTGTCTTAAAGAGGTAGAGGTCATAATGATGGTTCTAAAAAGAACATTATTTTGTGTATTTGGTTTAATGCAATGTGTTTAAGTGGTTTTAGTTTAAAAAAAAGTTATTATTTTACACATACCGTACATTGTTGTTGCTCCACTATGCCCCGCCTTTCTGAAACGCGTCGATTTTTACAAAGCTCATATTGGCCAGCAATCCAGTGCATTGTGAGTGGCCCGAATACCTTAAAGGGTAACTAAACCCTAAAACAACTTTTTTAGTTAATGATCTGTGAGACTGGGGCTTTATTAATGCTTGCTGTTCATTGATTCAAGTAATTTTTGGGGGTATAAAGTGTTTTAATTCTACAATATATGGTGTAAAAACGTCTGAGTGCTGCCCTCTTCAGGTTGAACGGTGGCTACTGCACTTGAATTTTCCTATTGGAAGTTGTGGTGCCCTGTGACGTTTCCAGCATTTTTCAAATATTGCCAGTGGGTGGAGTCAGGCTCTGACCAGGGCTTTAGTTACCCTTTAAGCGTCACGCCCGTTACCATATTTGGAACATCAGGGGAGAACACTATGTAAACATAAAACCATGTCTGCATTTGTGATCGCTACTCTATACTGCTCAAAACTCGCATTTGAATAGTCAGTAGAAATTTCTTAAAATATGAAAACATACTTACAGGTTGTGTGAGTCAGAAGCGCCAGACTGTACAACCCGAATTCCAGAAAAGTTGGGACGTTTTTTAAATTTGAATAAAACGAAAACTATACGACTTTCAAATCACATGAGACAATATTTTATTCACAATAGAACATAAATAACATAACAAATGTTTAAACGGAGAAAATTTACACTTTTATCCAATAAATGAGCCCATTTCAAATTTGATGCCTGCTACAGGTCTCAAAATAGTTGGGACGGGGGCACGTTTACCATGGTGTAACATCTCCTCTTCTTTTCAAAACAGTTTGAAGACGTCTGGGCATCGAGTTTATGAGTGTCTGGAGTTTTGGTGTTGGAATTTGGTCCCATTCTTGCCTTATATAGGTTTCCAGCTGCTGAAGTGTTCGTGGTCGTCTTTGACGCATTTTTCGTTTAATGATGCGCCAAATGTTCTCTATAGGTAAAAGATCTGGACTGCAGGCAGGCCAATTCAACACCCGGACTCTTCTACGATGTAGCCATGCAGTTGTAATAGCTGCAGTATATGTGGTACTGCAAAGTACTCTCGCAGGTTCTGGAAACAGTCCTCGAAAAATGCGCAGCACACAGTCGAATATTTTGGTTGTACTGTTCTGGAACAGTGTTGTAAATAAAGCTTAAGCACTGTTTTCTAACTGTGTCCTCTTTTGGAAGGCCAAACAAAGCAGTTTGGCTTTCGCAACGGAAAAACACAGCGTCTCCACGACATGATTTGAGAGGGCGTGTTGGAACGAAGCGTTTTACTAAGGCGTGGCTGAGCCTTAACTTTTATAAAGAATATCTCTTTAGGTTTGAGGAGACTTTGAGCTTTGAAACTCTGCAGATCTTATACATGCATTAACGGCTAACATAACACACTAGAGAAAAAAGGAAAACAAGAAATCGCACCTTTAACCCTCTGGGGTCCTTCATTTCAGAGTCACACTCAGGACCTTCGGGTCCAAATGGGCCGGAAGGGTGGGATTAATATTTATTAAAAAAAAATCATCTTTTTTTTTTTTACTTGTTTTTTATAATATTTTTTCTTTTCTTTTTTGGTGTTTTGAGATAATTTCAAAAATAAAAATGATTTATAATTAATATTAATGCAATAATTATGACCCATTTTTTCCCCATTGAATATAATAGAAATTTTTAAAAAATATTTTTTTTTTTTTTTTTTTTTTTTTTAAAGCTGTATTTCATTTTAGAGTCAAGCCTAGGCCTCATGAAAGCAATTTTTTAAATGAGATGGATGCCATCTGGTGGACAAACTGAGCATTTTAAAAATTCAAAACCCATATGTAATCTGAATTTATTAGTGTGTATGTGTATAAAAGTGTGTGTGTGTGTGTGTGTGTGTGTGGATGTGTCTGTTTTGCACTCTTGATGTTTTATAGATTTACCCCTTCACTGTAGTGTGCTTTTTTTCTGGATCGTGGCTGATTTGTAGTTTGTACGCACAAAATAACTCTGTATTTTCACATTTTTGCCAATTTCCCATTCATTTCCTATGCGGGTCCATTTGGACCCGAAGGTCCTGAGTGTGACTATTTTTTTTACAACCACTTAGACTATTCAAATCCTGTCCCCAATTTTTTGGGGTGTTCATATGCCAAGTACCAACAAAGTCACTAAATTTCGGACCATTCCGATAAAGCAATGATTTTAAAAAAATATATATTTAAATGCTTCGGGTCCATTTGGGCCGAAGGACCCCAGAGGGTTAAAGCATATTAAAAACATTACATAGACATATAAACAACATTAAAGGCTTGGTTTTCACCACAGAGGGACTTTAAATACTATTACTCAGTACTTTAATGTATAATTACACTGTAACAGGGACATATTCAAATAAAGTGTGACCATATTTGTTGTTCTTTTCAGGCTTTGTCGTCGTCTAAAGAGAAGTATCCCATCTTTACATTTGTGGAGGGCATGGGACAGAGCTATGGACTGGAGGGGCAGAGCGCCGGCTCCATGGACGGTCCTGCAAACATTTTCTCATGCAACAGAACGAGCAGGAACAATAAGAGAGGAAGCACAGATGAGTTTGTGCTCCTGTGAGGAGCGTACGGCATGCATCACAGACTGCACTGAACTTCATGAAACTGCTGTTCCTCACGTCTGTACACTGATAAATATAACGCTCTGCTGACGTTGAGAATCTCTGTCTACGTCATATTTCAAAACTAAGCATTAGGAAAATGTTGCATATTTTTAGAATTATTAAACACTTTTTCCACCTATTTATCATTACCGTAATGCCCCAAAAACTCATTCTCAGTAATGTGATGTAAAAAAGCTACATTATTTAAATGTAGACTGAGTTTATGCTAAGTTTTAGTTTAAAAAAAAAAAGATGATTTTAATTCACTGCATTACAGTATAAGCATGTTTTGCATTATGGTGATGAAAATTGTAAGAGGAAAAATGCATCAATTATCAGTGTAATAATTCTAAAAATACTGTTTATTTTCTGTATGCATACTATGATTTTGGCTTGACACCTACATTTCTTTGGTAAATTACCTGTATATTATAAATGACTCATGAATGGATGAGGAGCATTCTCGGTCAGCTCAATTTTCAACCGATTCGGCCTCATACACACTAACTTCCTCCTGTTTTGTCTCACACACTGAACACACGGTCCTGCTGTTGTGTCGCTCTTTATGAAGGTAAACGGGTACTCTTGAAGTGCTTTTCTCTGAGACTGTGCTCTATAACAGGATAGCACTGCAGGGATTATGGGTCATTTCCACATTGAGAAAACCTCTGGTTGCTGTATGGTATGCCTGGTTTTCTAAGTCGTGTATATTGTAAATCTCAGCTGTGTTTGAACTGAGTGTGTTTTTGTTTTAAGTCGTTGTGCCGCGTTTGTCATCAGTTTACAGCTTTCTCTTATTTAATTGTATATTTTATGGGGAATCACAGCCGTGGTACCTCCTCAAGCTCTGGGAGACTGTGTGGCATTTGAGTTTGATGCTGGAAGCTGTCTGAATATTTGATGTCTGGTTTGCTTTTGCTTGTTCAGGTCAACCAAATTAGCTGTTACTGTTATTTAAGCTGTTAATTTTATTTTTACATCTTGTATTTTTGATCATAGTTCTATCTGTGGATGCACCGGATGAAGCTGAACTGCTGTCACTGTTTGAACAATCGTTTTTGAATAATAATAGATATTTGATTGTTTTTTTTTGTTTTTTTTGTTTTTTTTACATTTTTGATTCTCTCTCCTGAACATACATGCTCAAAAGGACCAGTGGACGAGAGGGTGATTTGCCTCTGTATGGATTTTATTCTTCTTCTTTTTTTCAGAATTGGAAGATGCAAACTAGAAATTAAACGTAAGAGAGAAGTAAATTACTTATAATTCCATAATTGCCCAACTGAGTATCTGTCCTTAAAATAACTTCAGGTATTTTTAAACAACAGTGTTTGAACTGAGTTGTCTATTTTTATCAATTATTGTGCATTTTTTTTATCTATTTTTATGCATCCATTATAAAGGAGAGCTACTGGCCTGCTTGCTTTTGAGGTTTCGGTGTAATTTTAACTAAAGTCGGTCAAAATTAGAACAAAGAAATATGATGAAAAGAGTGATCAGTTGTCTGTTCTGAAAGATCATGGAGAGAAGGGGGGAAAAAACAAACAATAAAATGCAACAGACCATATAATCATATTTAGGTTAATAAGTTGGCAAAACTCCAAAAAATTGAGGTAATCAGTTACATAAACATTTTTAACTTAAGATATTCGAAGTTTAAGTGAGCAGAACTTGCAGATATCTATTGTGTGCTCATACATTTTATTTCCTCTTAACATGAAATATTTGAGTAAGCTAATTTATACATTTAACTTAAAATTATCATGTAATCTCAATTTAAGTACTTAGTGGAAGTTGGCTAGTTTTAACTAGCTAATTCAATAAATGCTAACTTGTTAATTGGTAACACAATGCTTTGATAGGATCGGCATAGCAATTGCTGAATGAGTGTGACTGTACAGAACATTAAACATATACCTGTTCTCAAACTCAGCTCATACTCCACTCGTCAACATGATGGTAACACTAAAAAAAAAACATAATACAAATTTCTTCCAAATTAGCATAGCAAAGCACTTCTAAATTTCCCACTTAAAATTAATCTTGCACAAAAAACAACAACATTAAATAACACTTAATTTTAGCATTTACTCTCCCTTTTGAGTGTCAAGGTTTTAAAGCATTCTGGGAAAGAAAAATCCCAGTGCAGTTTAAGTTCGTCTAAATTAAAAGAAACAAGTTCATAAAAAACTTAAACACTAAATAAATACTCGAAAGTTAGTTTGATTGAACTAATTTGTTCAAATTTAAGTTGAGTCTACTCAAACCAATTATTTTGAGCAATAGGGTTTATAGTGTATAGCAAAGAAAAATATTTATTATTAATCATTTTCCACCTATACAGTTCATGTGAATATTAATATTTATTTTTATTTTAAAGTCTCCCTGTAGTCAATAATTGTATCCCTTAAAACTAATCTTTGATCACATTTTTAAACCTTTTTCCTTCTCATTTAGTATACAGGGTTCTATGAATATGCAAATGAGCCCCGCCTCCACTCACTCACACCAGCTCAGAGATCCACTCATTGACCTGATTGGTTACAAGGTAGTTTGTGACCAGCGATTTCAAACTGCGTTTTTGAGACTTTCTTTGATTCACTGCAATTTTAAGAACAAAAATACTCAGCAATGATGTTGACTTATGAATTTGCACATGGTTTGTCTTAAAGCATGTTAAAAACATCACATAGACATATAAACAACATTAAAAGCTTGATTTTCACCACAGGGGAAATTTAAGGACATATTGTAATAGATATTTTAGTTGCTGGATTGCAAAAAAATCTGGGTTTTGAAATAAAATCTACTTGTGAAAGAGGTTAACACAAGGTATGTGCTATTTAAAGTAACTTTTATTTTAAAATGGTTAAAAGCTTTTATTTTGTAGCCATACAACTGCTTTGTTTTGAAGCGTCGTGGCGGACTTTTATTTTGAAGGGGTGTGAAGGGCTGGGCGCTGAGTGACTTCCGGCTGGCCGAAGACAGCGGCAGCAGCGCTGAGATTAGGGCGGATCGGGCGGATTCACAGAGTCTGTAGAAACATGGACGGTCAAGGCAGAAAAGTGGTGGTGTGTGACAACGGGACCGGGGTGAGTGTGAGAGCGGACCATCTACGGCTCTGTCCGGTCTGAAGGATGTTTTATTTTGCGCTTGTGTGTGTGTTTAAATGACGGCTTGCATGAGAAAGATGCAGCGGAACAGGAAGTGAACTGATAGTACCTTATTTTACACTGTGATTATCTGTGATTTACACACGACCTGAAATGTGAAAACAACACTAATCAGATGTTCAACAATCATAGATCACGATAGATTATTAATGGTTTTGCATGTGGATGTTTTGAAGGAGCGGTGTATATTTATTGACATGATTGACGTTTACAGATGTTTTGATTGATATTTTAATGAAGTCGCAGTGTGAGCATGCATTATTGATTAAATGACATGTTTATGCACATTTATATCAATGATGCTTGAGTATCTGTGTCTGTAAAAGCAAAGATAAAGATGATCTCTAACTCACTTCCGAGTTTGTAATCTCACATCTGGCCGAGAGAGGAAGTGACATACTAGACAAACCATAGAAACACATTCCATCATCATTCTCTCGCTGTCTGATACCTAATTGTAATGCTATGATAGTCAAATGATACACAAAGTTACTTCAAATTATATTATGGTGCATTTCCTGTATTACCATAGTATTATATCTCGAGAAAAACACCATATTAAATCTCCAGAACAACATATTTTTATGGTAATGGTCCAAAAGGCATGATATTACCATAATACATGTTCATATTTAGTGGTAAATGTTCATAAACATGCCATTACTGTAGTAAATGTCCAAAAGACATGGTATTACCATAGTATACAAAATATAAACATTACCCTGGGACAAAAGGAGAAAAACTCAATAATGTAAGACTTTCTGAGCCGAACGTTAGGTTAGATGTATCGCATTTATTATGGGATATGCCGTTTTATCGTTACGCATGATGACAACAGGTGAAGCACCTAATTTTGTTGTTTGTCATGAAGTGCGCACTTATGTTTCTGATAAATGTCTAGAAGCATCTTGATCTTTTGCTTTGTTTCTGATTTTTAATGACTAGCTGTCTTTCTCTGGTCTGTATTATTATTATTAATATTTTTGAATAGGAACAAAATTAAACATTTTAAATTTTAGTTTGAGTAATTATGTTTTTTATTTATTTTTTATTTAGCTTTAATTTAGCACTTAGTTTTAATAGTTTCCCCCATTTTTTCCTTCTGATTGGTGATATTTGTAATGATGTAACTCTCTGTCTGTCTGTCTTTCAGTTTGTGAAGTGTGGATATGCCGGCTCTAATTTCCCGGAGCACATTTTTCCAGCTCTGGTGGGGAGACCGATCATCCGCTCCACTGCCAAAGTGGGAAACATCGAGATCAAGGTAAAGTTTGATAAAAATAAAAAATATTTCTGCAGATATATTCATCTATATTCATCATTCAAAAAGGGAAACCAACGCTGCAGATACACGAACCGTAAACAAAGCAGCGCATGCTTACCATTTTGACACTCAGTCTTGCTGATCACTTACTTTATTCCACTCTCCTCCTGTTATTCGCACAGGAACACTCCGGTATGATGACGTACAAAAAGAACAGCCTTCTGTCTGTATAGTCTTGACTTCTTTGCTTGGTGTTTTGCTATTATTCTCAAGACGGCCAATCGTCGGCTTGGTGTGTCCCGGGCTTAAGGGTGTGTTCACACTTGTTCGGGTTCGTTTGGTCAGGACCCAAAAAATAATAATTTGTCCTGGTCCGCTTAGCGTTCACATTGGCATTTTAACACCGAACCTAAAGATACCGAACCTAAAAGCATAGGGATTCGTTCACAACCTGATTGGTCGGCCTTTATGACATATATTTTGCGACTGAACTTCTCGAACACAATGTTGTATTCTGGGATCAATGGACTCGCTGTGTGTGTGTAGCTACATATGATGGTATTCTGACCAGCTGAGAATGTGAAGAGCTCATAAAATGTGTAAAAGTGTCAAAACAGCATCAGGAATCCCTCCGTCACACACACACACACACACAAACACAGATCTGCTGTGAGGAGACGAAGTTCGGACGCCTGTACTGAACTGTGATGAGGAACATCACGACTATGACGAGAAAAAACAGGTGTGCTTGAGCATTCTGTCCTGTTTAGGGTCACATCTTTTCACATAATTTCCTGTTTTTGGTTTGTTTACATGTCTTTGGTCCGTGTTGCGTTCATATTTCAGTCGAACCGCACCAGAGTTGGTTTGGAAGCGGACAGAGACTCATCTTTTCAGCGTCTCGCTCCTCTTGTTTGATGCACCAGGGTTCAGACGGCAGCGTTCACACTTATTCATATGGACCGCACTAACAGAGCAATCGCACCAGAGTTCGCTTTAATCCAACCAAACATGCCAAGTGTGAACACACACTAAGTGACAATAAAGTAACTAAAGCAGGGGTGTCCAGTCCTTCTCCTGGAGGGCCACTCTCCTGCAAAGTTTAACTCCAACCCCAAATAAACACCTGAACCAGCTAGTCAAGCTCTTACTAGGCATACTAGAAACTTCCAGGCCGGTGTATTGAGGTAAGTTAGAGCTATATTTTTCCACACACCTATTTTTATGTATATTGCATAAAAAAAAACACTAGATGGAAACGGCGAGATGTGCATAAAAAAAAGTATGCTCAAATGTTTTCATCCGATAAGAAACATGCGCATAAACTACAACGGAAACACATTTACCAAATAGATTCCTCGATGCGCATCAAAAAAGACTTGAGTGCGCGATAACTAAAGTCATTTATCATATACAAAAAGTATTATTTACAATGACGCTTCTCCTACTGCGTCAACTTCCATTTTTCTTAGTGATATTTAGCGCCACTTTATCGTGAATTTCGATATATTCGCAAATGTTTTGTGTGATATTCCAAGTTAAATTCACAGCTTTGGATGGAAACATGGCTATTGTCTATAGGTATCGTAAGACCTTCTGGAACAGCCTACATGTCAAGTGCACATTTATATATATTTTATTTTAAACACCATGGTGGTATTTAGTAAGAAGCAGCTACTTGTGTAACTTCCTGCTTGAGCTGAAGTTCCTGCTGAGTGGCTTTCAGAAGCTTTTCACATGAGCTGTGAGAGGGGGTTTATGGGTTTCTCTGATTGAAAATAATAATACACAGAGAAAATCCAGAAATATTGAGATGTGTATTTATCATTGTCAAAAGAGACGTTTTAGGCATATCACCAACGCAACGTCCTGGTCCTCGACCCTTTTTTAGCTACAAACACATTATGATTTTTGAGATAAGTGACAAATGATAGTGTTCATTTTTAACATATATTATTTTTTAATACCACACTACATTAAAAGTTTATATATGTCTTAGTTTTTTTTTTTTTTTTTCTATTTAGCTCAATCATGTAGGGGAACAGCTTTTTAAATCAAATGCTTTTAGTCTTCAAATAAACAAGGTATTTTTTTTTCTTCATACTTTTATGGAAAATCCTGTTCCTAAATTCCTTAATTCTCTACCCTCTTTTTTTAATATGAAACCTGTATATTCTTGGGCAAATAAGACAGCATGTCATGTAGTTAAGTTGATTTTTAAGTTTATTTCGGTTTTGTTTTCACTCCGTTCTGTTCCTGTCTGCTTGAGTTCCTAGTTAGTTTCCCTGACTGTTCATTAGTTTCCACACACCAGTTTCTGTTCCCTGTGTATTTAAGCCTGGAGGTCTTTCTTTTTATTGTCTATCGTCTTATCTATGTTAACGTGGTTGGGTTTGTTTCCCACGATCCTACAATCTCCTGAGTATTGTTTAGATTTAAACACTAAGTTATTAACACACACACACACATATATATATACGAAGTATCTCAAAAAACATGGCCGCCATCGGCCAATGAAGTACACTCTAGGTCAATAATTATTGAAAAAAAAAAAATAACTTTGGCATTTGCATGGCTATAACAGGGTGATCTAGAAAAGGGCGTGGCCAAATATACTCAAAAGCCTACTAAACGAAAACTCAAAACTTAAATTAGGCACGTGCATGCGACATATGACTCTAAACAAGCATGCAAACCTTTATGGAGATCGGACGCTATAGGTGGCGCTATATACTGTTATTTCCTGTGGTAAATGATCTGCATTGGCTGTAAATGGTGTTTTCCATCTATTATTTAAGTGGTTACAGGCTTGCTAAAGAAAACAATACCTTTTACGCATGTTCTTAAAGGCCTTAAAGCGCTTGAACCACGTTAATTGCGCTATATATATATATATATATATATATATTCTTTAAAAATGGACAAAAATCTTCATCTGACGGTGTAGATATTTACTGAAGGAGTTGACAGAACAAATCGAGGTGCAACAGATTAAGCGCTAGTAAATATTTTTTCAAGCAACATATTGACTTATTTTAACTAATATTAAACGTATGCATTCAAAACCATGATAAGGCAATGAAACTGGGTTATTATTGTTAACTAAAACTGAAACTAAAACGTAAAAAAAAAATATTTCTTGAAATAGTCAAATATAAAAAACGTATTTTTTTCAGCTAGTTGCCAAGGCTTGATGTACTAAAATAACTAAATTAATAAACTATATTGACAAAAATGACTTAAATGAACTAAAATTAAATGAAAAATATAAAGACAAAAACGGACTTTAACCAAAAAATATATCAATTATGCTAAAATAACACTGCAATGAATGCCCTGAATATACAGGTTTCCTTTGTTTTTATGAATTCTTTTATGATTTTTGAATATAAGGCATGTTGTGGCTCTCATCTGATCCTGCATCAGTTTACATCAGTTCCTCTCCTGTTCTCTCCTTCTGTCCTGTGTTCCTGTAGGCTTGTAGACGGATGGTAAGTGTTTGTGTGGCTGTGAGTTTGACTCTCTCTCTCAGCCCATGCAGAGCTCCTAGCAGTTTGATCAAAACTAACAATAACTCTTGTTCTCTCACTACCCCGATGAAATGATCTTGCTTGTACGTGAGCGATGTTTGACATTACCCAGAATGCACTGTTTCTGTGTTGAATGACACTAGTGTGCTGTGTCTAAAGAGGATATACAGGGTTCATCCTCAGAAAACCTGGAGATATCAGGTTTAAATATTAATTTACACATCAACACCGATGGCAACCCTGGTTCATTCATCAACTTTCTCTCTAGTTGCAGACTTATACTCACTTCTAATGACTGGATTGCAGTGCGTTTAATGTTTTTGAGTTTCGTTAGTCAACTCATGAGTGAATTTCATAAAATACATTGATGGAATGAAATTACTTGTTTATTTTCCCATCTAACATTTAATTAATCTTTCGACAAGCTCGAAGTGAAAGATAACATGGCGCTGAGCCTACTGACCTTTGACCTCTCCTCTGTGACCTGTAGGATCTGATGGTGGGCGACGAGGCGAGCGAGCTGCGCTCCATGCTGGAGGTGAACTACCCGATGGAGAACGGGATCGTGAGGAACTGGGACGACATGAAGCACCTGTGGGACTACACCTTCGGCCCCGAGAAGCTCAACATCGACTCGCGAAACTGCAAGATCCTGCTCACGGAGCCGCCCATGAACCCCACCAAGAACCGAGAGAAGATCATCGAGGTTTGAGCGGCTGTTGGTTGCTTTACACTATACCTCTGGTGGACCTCGCTGAGGTTTGTGTTGATGTGATTTATTTTCCCTCCCTTTAGGTGATGTTTGAGACCTATCAGTTCTCAGGGGTTTATATCGCCATCCAGCCGTGCTCACGCTTTACGCTCAAGGTACTGGACCTGCCAATGGGCTTTAACCAGAGCTGGTGATGCTTACCAAACGTTTGTTTCTTCACAACAACATGCACTGATGATTATAGAGACCGTGAGAAAAAGAGAAAAAGACCGTGAGGAAGTTAATGGAGCCATTTTTGATTTCATGTTGATTCTAATGGTTTAGAATGACAGATAAAAAAAAAATCTATATATATATATATATATTAAAAAATATTTTTTTAAAGTAGGTAAATATTAAATATAATATATAAAAAAGTAATATTACATTTATATAATTTTAAAAGTAATAAATAAATATATCAAAAGAGTAATAAATATAATAAATATTAAATACAACATACATAAATAATAAATATAAATAATGTTTTATATATATATATATATATATATATATATATATGTATGTATAAAAACAATAACCATAATAAACATAATAAATGCATGAATATATAATAAATAGTAAATATATGAGGTATATAATAATAAATAATAATAAAAAATAAAAAGTTATATATATATAGTAATAAATATATATGAAATTCAATATATAAATAGAAATAATTGATTAATATATCTATAATATTTAATAAATTAAATTAAAGTAGTAAATAAAATAAATACAATACAATACAAATAAATAAAAATATGAAATGATATAATATAATGATAGTTAAATACTATGAATGAATGAATAATTTATTTCCTTTCTTTCTTTTTCCTCTTCAGAACATGATCATTAGAACAAAACATATTTTAACAAGAAGATAATAAGAACAAAATCTCAGCATGTTCAAAAGAAAAGAAACAATATAGAAAATAAAGAAGGAAGAAGCTAACTTATATTTACCTTCCCCTTTTACACATCTAGCTTTGAAAAGGCTACTGTTTTCTCTTTACAAAATATCAAACTATTAAACATAATATAATAAATAAAATAATACATATAATAGATATTAAATACAATATATAAATATTAAATGTATAATATAATATATATAAAATAACAAGTATATAAAGTATAGTGAAAAATGAAACTTCAGCACCTCGAGTTGATATTTGTGAATGTGTGTCCTGTGCAGGTCTGCTGACGGGTGTGGTGGTGGACTCTGGTGACGGCGTCACTCATATCTGTCCAGTGTACGAAGGCTTTTCTCTTCCTCATCTCACGCGCCGTCTGGACATCGCTGGAAGAGACATCACACGCTACCTCATCAAGGTACATCTATCTCTCTCTCTCTCTATTTAAATATATATTTCATTCACTCACTCGCATCTTTTCATCAGTCTCACTCAATCCAGTCCAAATACGTTTAGTGTAAATATGACCATATCAGTGAGAAGCTTCTATCTGAGAAAGTTAACGAGTCAGTCTGGCGTGTATTGTAATCACCGTGTTTGTGTTCTTTTAACACATAATTTTGTTTTTAATAGTCCTGTTTTCAGTTAACTATAGCAACACTGTAGCCAACTATAAATAAGCTCTCATAGGTGGATTCCCCTTAGAGAAATGTCCAGGCTGAATGTAACGCTCTCGGTGTGTCTCCAGCTGTTGTTGTTGAGGGGTTACGCCTTCAACCACTCGGCGGACTTCGAGACGGTGAGGATGATGAAGGAGAAGCTGTGTTACGTGGGCTATAACATCGAGCAGGAGCAGAAGCTTGCGCTGGAGACCACCGTGCTGGTGGAGTCTTACACGGTACGTATGCTCTGTCTGTTCCATAATCCAGTGAGCATTTTAAGATATAATAAACCATCTCAATGGTAGACTGGAACAATAATGCCTCGTTTTGGCAGTAGTTGCCACTAGAGGGCAGCAGCGTGTGGAGTGAACTCGCTGGACTCTCATCACAGGAGAGCTGACTCGATCTCCTCTGTGTGTTCGCAGCTGCCGGACGGGAGGCTGATTAAAGTGGGCGGCGAGCGTTTCGAGGCTCCTGAAGCTCTGTTCCAGCCTCACCTCATTAATGTGGAGGGAGTGGGTGTAGCCGAACTGCTCTTCAACACCATCCATGCAGCCGACATCGACACCAGGTCACTTCACACACACAGATTTCACACTCAGTATTCCTTATAGTGTAGGATATGATGTAATATACATATGTTATATCTGTATCTGTATACATTTTCTGTCTCAGGCTGCGTTTTACAAACACATCATGTAATATTAACAAATATAAAAAAATGTAAATAAGTTTTAAAGTAATACACATAAAATATAGAATTAGTGTATAATTTTATAGTTATAAAAAATGTAATAATGTTGATAGTATTTTATATTTATAATATTGTCATTGTTGGGATATATTACTATATTTTTATTTTATATTTTAATGATATTTATGTCTATCTGTTATAATGTATTATATATTATATAGTATTACATATGTTACATATTATTATATATATTTGTTATATATATTGTCTAATATTATCTCATTTTTATACTTTTTTTGTACAAATAGATAAATTGTTTGAATTTTTTAGTATTTTAAATACAGTAAGTTTAAAGAACTAAACATCAAATATATAATTAGTATATAATTGTAATATTTCATAATGTTAATACTATTTGATAATTATAATATTGTCATTCTTAGGTCTAATATTATTATTTGTATACATTTTCTGTCTCATGTGTATACATACTCATATTTGACTGTCTTTATTCCAGGGCTGTTTTACAAACACATCATGTAATAAAAAAAAAAAAAATAATTTAGAAAATGTAAATAAGTTTTAAAGTAATACACATAAAATATATAATTAGTGTATAATTTAATAGTTATACATTTTTTTATAGCTTAATAGCTATAATTTTTTATTATTTTTTATTATTTTTATAGCTATACATTTTTATATAAAATGTTTTATAATTATAATATTGTCATTGTTAGGATATATTAATATATTTTTTAATGATATTTATGTCTTTATCTGTTATAATGTATTATATATTTATATATTATATAGTATTACATATGTTACATATTATATATATATATATATATATATATATATATTTGTTATAGATATTGTCTAATATTATCTTGTTTTATAAGATATATACTTTTTTTTTTTTTAAATAGATAATAGATTGTTAGAATTTTTTAGTATTTTAAAGAATTTTTAAAATATTAAACATCAAATATATAATTGTAATATTTAATAATGCTAATAATATTTGTTAATTACAATATTGTCATTCTTAGGTCTAATATATCTTTAAATGATATTTATATCTTTATCTGTTACAATGTATGATATATTTATATATGATATAATTTAGCATATCATGTATTACATATATCTGTTATATATATATATATATATATATATATATATTGTCAAATATTATCTTTTTTACTTTTTTGTCTCAGGCTGTGTTTTACAAACCCATCATGTAATAGATAATAAATAAATAAAAAATAGATAATAAATTGTTAGTATTTTTTTGGTATTTTAAATAAGTTAAAAAATTCTACACACAAAATGTATAATTCTATACTATTACATTTGTATAATTTTAATAATATTTAATAATGTTCATATTATTTTATAATATAATGGTTATTAATATGTTAAATATAATTTGTTGTGTGCATGTGTATACACACTCATATTTGACTCTTTATTCCAGGGCTGAGTTTTACAAACACATTGTTTTGTCGGGCGGTTCTACGATGTATCCTGGTCTGCCGTCCCGTCTGGAGCGCGAGCTCAAGCAGCTTTACCTCGAGAGAGTGCTGAAGGGAGACGTCGACAAGCTTTCGGTACCAAAAACAGCTAATACTTACATCTAATACAGGCATCCTAAAAAACACATTTGTCCACAAGGTTCTGACCACTAGCAATTCACTAGCAGTCCAAAGAGTATCAATGGACTATGATGTCAGAAATTAACTCATTTAACTAACTTTAAAAAACTAAACTCCCTCTGAATTTGGGACATTTTTACATTTTTTTCCCCTAACCATGAGAAAGTAACTGCAGATGCACTAAACCGATAACAATAAAGTATAATCGCATGACAAATATCAGCCATTTTGAAATGGATGAATCACTACCAGAGCATTTTTGCCTCTGTATTATAAATATCTAGTGCAATTTTTACAATTTCTAACCCTTTTGAGTTTTATTAGTACGGTAATGGTTTTGCACATATACAGCATTGCCGTATTTCTGAATCTGTGGTGTTTTCTCTTCCTGTAGAAGTTTAAGATCCGCATCGAGGATCCTCCACGCCGTAAACACATGGTGTTTTTAGGAGGAGCGGTGCTGGCCGACATCATGAAGGACAAAGACAACTTCTGGTTGACCAGAGAGGAGTACCAGGAGAAGGGCATGCGTGTTCTGGAGAAGCTAGGCGTCACCGTTAGATAAATCACACACACACATATACACATACACACATCACACACTTGCACTCACACTCCCAGTCACAGGGTGGCATTTTGGCAGCGTAAACACAGAAGTTTCCAGCAATTTTTGCGGACATGCTTGAGAACAACGATCAAATACTTGAACTTCCTTTGCAATCCAAAAAAACGCGCTTAATGTTTGTACGACATTCCAAATGTAAAGGTTTCGTATCACTGCTGCGAAACTCACGAAACCATTCGTTTATGCTGCCAAAGTGAATCCTCCAATCGAATGCATCCACCATATCATGACCGTCTGTTTGTTTTGAGTCCTGTCTGTCTCATGGATCCACATCGACCCTTATGAAGAGCAATATCGCTCTAAAAAGAGTAAGAAACAGGAGGATGTTGTGTATGTAAACGGACAAAACAATAAAAAGGTGTATTTTTAAAAAAAGAAAAAGCAAGTTTCTTTGTTACAAAAAAAGTTTTGTAATGAGGATAAAAATCGCTGCAGCCAATTCGCTAATAAAGAATATAAGAATCGTGGCCGATGGTATCAAACACATAGACGTTCATCCTTTTGCTGAAACGCCTACTTTCTATCTTACTATCTCTGTCTTTAATCTCAGCGTGTGCGCGCTTCATTATTGGATGTGCGCTTCACCTGAAAACTTCCCCAAATAACATTTGAAGAGTTCATCATTGCTGAGAAATGCAGCGTGAATCCGCCTTACCGGTATTTCAGTAATGAAAATCTGAATCATTAGGAAGACTTTAAATATAGACTCTCTGTTCATGTCATTCCATCAGTTGTTCCTTTCCGTCTAAAGGACCTTCATAAGCGATAGTATCAATATCAGACTCCATTTGAAAGGGAAGTGGTCGTGTTTAGCATACAGTTAGAGCTGCAATCTAGAGCCTCATTTCTGCATCAGGGTCACGTTTCTCTCCAAAATCAAGTTTTAGTTCCCGTAATTTTGCATTGTGCCATTATTTTCCTCAACAAAATCAACATTTTTATTATCATAATGTAAAAAAACGAAATATTTTCATTACCGTAATGGAAAAAAAGTGCAGTCATTACCGTAATGCAAAAAAGTGCAGTCATTACCGTAATGCAAAAAAGTGCAGTCATTACCGTAATGCAAATTTTTTTTTGTAGCTTAAAATGTTGTTGGTTTTGTTGTACTGCCTTTTTATGCTGATCTAAATGTAAAAATAATTGTATTACGCTATTTCTACTGTAATACAGTAATAAATATCTTGTAGAATAATGGGAATTACATAACACCTGGAAGGAACATGTTCGTGTACATTATGTTAATGAGTTTTGGAGGTGAATGTGTGTAACTGTCGAGAAAATAATGTCACAATGCCCTCCAAAAAAAGATTGTATAAAAGGGATAAGCAAATGTAATTGTGATTGCTTTTCTTTTTGATTCTGGGAGTTAAGTGAGATTCACACGACACGCGTAAAACGCGAGAGCAGCAGTGTGTGTTCCGTGGCAGCTTCACACACGTGCATAACCTTGCGTCGCATATTCTATTGCAATAACCCTGCGTCCTTTTCATCAACTCATCTATCTAGTGTTCTAACGAGTCTCAATCGTGTTTCGCTCCCCGGAGGAACCGCACGGTTGTTCACATTCTCTACTTTTTTTTTTTTTTTTGCGTTCATGTGTTTTCTTCTTCTTTGCTGTTGGTTGTCGGGTCATTGTCATGTCTTCCCTGCATCTAATAGTCTGAGAACGAAGGCTCTCGCGGACGCCCGATGGGTGTGTTTATGGCCCAGACGCTTCATTCCCAGACCGAAGACAGCCATGATGTCACGGTTTACTGCCTGTTTGTAATATGAACGACATAGTAATGATGGTATTGGTAATGATGATGATCATTTTTAGTGTTTGTACTCGTGACAGCTGTTTGGAAGCTGGATCAGTGATGTTTCTGTGTTTGAACACATTCAGACTCTCTCCTCACATGGAATAAACTGTGACGACTCCTTTGATTTCATTCACACGCATTCTTCAAGTGCCAAGTCTGGGTATTGTAGTCTTTTTGTTTGTTTGTTTTCTGCTCTTTTGTTTTGGTTTTGTTTGTAGCGTACTGCCTGACCACTGATTTGAATAAAGGAAATTGATTAATAACTCAACCGTTAAAGTGAGTCTTTTAAACCGACTGAAACCAGTGCTGTTTAGAGTGTGTGTGTGTGTGTGTGTGAGAGAGAGACAGACAGTCATTTTTCTTCATATGTGGCATGTAACTATGGAAGCGCTCAAGGAATGGCTGGTTGCCATGTAGATGTGCTTTACACAAGCAGTGTCTTTTCTCTCCGTTCATCTATTAAACTGGTGATTTACAGTACCAGTCTGAGACACACGCTCATTATTTATTCATGCTTTTATCCATATTTTAGGTTTTAAAATGTGTAGGCAAAATTCCATTCCCTTTATATATACACACATTTATATATATATATATATATGCGCTGTCAAATCGATGAACCCCTTAAGTGTCACCCCCCTTTTTTTGAATATACATGAAAATGCACATTTCAAACTTAAATGGTTGTAATTCAGGAATGCTTTGGAATATAGATGTAAGATTGGTCTTGTTTTAAAGAAGACATTTGGCAGATTTTTGTAGAAGTGAAATAAATTAAGAAAGTGAAACAGAAAAAAAGTTATAGAAGTTTGAGTTTATGAAAATGTACAATGTAAAAAATTAAATTATTCATATTTTATAGAAAATATATATTTTCAAAACCTGGGCGACTCTAAAACTGCAAAAAAATCAAAGGCAAAAATCTGAACAAGTTGTGTTTCAAATTGTAGGTTGATATCTCAAAAAATGAGCTTTCAGTGAGATTTTGTTTGGGCGCAGTACCAAACTTTTTCACTAGATGACAACCAGACCCCATTACTGCCCATATAAGGGCGCCTCCATTTCCATATGTGTTTTGGTGATATGAACCATATTTTCCACAATTTTCATACAATTTATGAAGAAAACATCCTATTCAGAAGTAATATGAGACGTTTGGCAGATTTTGATATGAATTCGACCTCAAAGAAACACATAAAAAGAACAAGTATGTGCGTTATAGCTTCCTGCCACCTCACAAATGGTGAATCTGTAATTTTTTCTTTATATTTAAAAAAAATTCAGACCTTTTTTTCTAAAATAATTGAATGGATGCTATCTTTTGAACTCTTGGCATGAAAACAAACTGAGGTTTCTACCCTTCTTTCATGATTTTTCATGTTCATCACTATTTCAAAATAAAGGCCTAAACACGCCTTAGGAGTATGAAAATATTCTTGTTGCAAATTGATAAATTATGGCTCCTCTGTAATTTATTTTGAAAATCAATCACCAAATATGGAAACTAGAGATTGTAAGCTTTCAAATGATATATAGTTTGTCAAGATTACTGTTTTAAAAATGTAATGGATTTGGGCCCACCGGTGGGCCAGTGACACATAAGGGGTTAAACCCTTACAAGGTCTCTGTGTGGATCATACCGGCTGTTGTCAGACTGCTTATGCATACAAAAATCACTGGATTATTACAATTTAATAGCAAAAGGAATGTTTGTAAATGTAAACTGATATTTCCTACTGACACACTACAGCAAAATATATAAATAACTGGATTAAAACCATTTTTTGGTGAAAATACTAACATGCCTAAGACTTTTGCACAGTACTGTAAATATATATACACACAATACTAAGTTTTGACTGGACAGCTCTCTGGAATACTTGATTCTAATTGGTCGGTCACCATATTCTGAGGTTAAATGCTAGTTTTGTGTCTTTTCTATCACTTTTAAGTCTCTTTCTTCTCACAAAATACTTTATGCAAAAAAATAAATAAAAAAAATATTGAATGTCCGTTTGTTTGTTTTATCTGGCTAGTAACCATGTAATAATTGTGATCACGTGCAGTCAGCCGGTCAATATCACTTCTTGCAATAATGCCAGGTTGACCGTACATTATCCCTAAATATGTAAAACACATGTATGCATGCATATGTGCTCTTGTTTTTCAGCCTCTCTCTGTCTCTTGGGTCTGGGCTGGATGAATATACAATTACAGCTTTAGGAGGAATTCTTTTTTGCTTGCAACTTTAGTTTGTGGACAATACAGAGTGCTTTTCCTTGACATTTCTCAAGAAGGCGTCAGGTTTTTGGAGGTCTGAGTGATACAGTCATCTTGCATAGGGATACAGAGCTGTATGAGTGTGTGTGTGTGTAGGAGGGGGTGATTGTGTTCACATTTGTTTCCGATTTTATTCATGTAAACAGGGGGGGCTGTCAGACTCAGTGGGGCCTGTTTAAATTAAGGCCAGGCTGCTCTGCACACAGCGGCTCACTCGCTGTACGTTACGTTTGTTTGTACTGAGACTACAGATACATTTGCATAAACGACACACAAATGCAAGTTTGGTCCCAATTTGGAAGTTTACCCAAAAACACATTGTCACATGTCGCTCCAAACCCACTTTTTGGTGCTAAAAAAGTATCATAGAAGTCCATATGGCTTGTGCACTTCTTAAGTCAAACAATATCTTTGTGTGACGAACCGATCAAAATATGTCATTATTTACTAAAATAAAAATATCCCCTCCATTATATGTATATGCATACATATTTAAATTTGAATGTAGTTGATGACAAGCACCATCGCTGTCATTTGTCTTACCATGCAAGTGTAAATATGGTTTTGTGTGGTCCTATTTAGAGCTCGACAATAAATGATGACTTTTTTTTTTTTTGCTGTTGCGTGAACTGTCTCTTTAAGATAAGGGTCATTGTGGTTTGTGCCATTAGTCATTTTTCTGCTTAATGACAAGTAACATGGTACAGAAAACAGTGTTATCCACATAATATATATCCCACAATTCCTCTCCGCACTGTACACATGACTGAACTGCCCTGTGGGGAAGAGAATAGTTATTCTGTTCAGTTGAACATCCAGCGCACAACAAGCCGATTCATTGGTGTATGAAATGAACCACAGACATGTTTACTATCAATATCAT